TTAGTTAGGAAATCAGGTTGCATGCGCTGTTGAAACTAACCACAACTTAAAAACCACATGGAACTTGACATTTTGTTTACATCACTTGTTAGAGGACAACCTGCTGAAGACAACCGGCTACATTTTGGAGTGAGGCATTTTGATTTGGGGGTCACCAAAACGAAAAGAGAAAAGCAACACTTATTTGTCAATCACTCATATTGATATCACATTGAAATCAATAGAATGAGAGGGAGGAATCGGGTTGCACGTTATGTTCAAACTAAACATACAAAAAAAAAACGGAATCTGGGAATTATATATATATACTATATATATATATATCACTGATTAGAGGACAACTTGTAGAAGACAACCAGCAACATTTTGGATTCTTGCATTTTGTTTCAAGTGGGTCACCAACGCGGAAAGGCAAAACACAACACTATTTGTTAATCACTCATACCGATATCAATTTGAAATCAATAGAGCGGGGGCCAACGTTTGGGGTGTATGCACTGTTTAAACTAACACTTCAAAGGCCACACTGAATCTGAGAATAACTTTCATATCACTGGTTAGAAGAGAATTTGCTGAAGACAGTCATCTAAATTCTAGAATGTCGGATGGAAGTTTTGGGAGGCTGCCGAAACGGGGAAGGAAACAAATCAGTTGCTTTGTTATTTAACTTAAAGGAATCACGACCCGCCATAGGATATCAACAGTGACAAGGGTTGGCTGTTATTTGAGTGATAGTTTGACTCTCAAATCCATGTATAGGTGTTTGGCCAGCGACTTTTATACAGACCGCGCCCCGAATTTTCCCTGCCATTTGAGTTTGAAAATGATAGTAGAATTTTAAGTCCTAAGACCGCCAGCGCGTATGACAAAATCAACAGTACAAAACCAATTATATTGATCTGTTTTAAGCAATCTATTTTGTGTCATGGTGATTAATATAAACTTTTATACTAACATCACTAATCTGAGGTAAAAAAGGATGCGCAATTACCCTCAATTGATGTGGTCAAATGTGAGGTTGTAACACGTGTCCATGTACAGGAAATGTAAGCAATATAAAATACAAGAATATGTACAAATAAATTAACATTTCAATTTAGGATTATAGTGTACACATACAGTATTTGTCACTAGTTTAACATTTACATTTACAAAATGCTCTTATGCACAATTTAACCGGGCGCTCTAGAAAGATCTCCCACACTGACTGTTCAATCGCGCTGCCGATATATTATAACCTGTCAAACCATAGTATTTATATTATTTTATTCATTGTTATTTCAGACCACATTGTATGGACACTACAATGGAATAAATGCAGCTTTATTGGACAATCTCATAGCTAAATATGGCACAGAAACTTTAACATTTATGTTAAACTGCATTCAAGATTAAAGACCAGTAAACTGAAGAACAGCCTAGCCTCTCCCATGTCTCCAGAGCACATTCTGTATCTTTGCCTAGTCACACCAGTGATAATTCCCTGAGGTTCTCAATCTCTTCAACACACCATCACAATATGGGAGTGATTCCAGGCTGCAAGTTCATTTGCAATATGATCAATAGAAAATTCCTATTCGATTTTGGAACCAGGATTTTATCATAGGATCCTATAGGTTTCCAATACAAGAATCCAATAGAAAAATCCTATCATATTTTCGAAGCTGTCCTATTTGACTCCTATAGGATTATATTCTATTAGCTAAAATCATATAGGTTCCAAATTATGATAGGATTTTCTATTAGATGTATTTATCAGCCTCAATATGTAATATCATTAATGGAGAGATATTGCACAAGTCTAGACAATAGTCAGCTAGTTTACTTATCATCCAATGATTTTGCACTTTCAATCATGATGTAACCAATTTTTGATTTCTTAGATGGTTTGCAAATGCTTTGCTCATCATAAATCTGAAAGTTTAGCTAAGCATTGCTATAAGGCAATGTCAGGCTAAGTAGAAAAAGTGCTAAAAGTCAAGTGGAAGATGATACCAAATAAATGTTTCTATGGATATGCAGTGGACCCTGGTCCATCAATGACTAATGAAAGTGCCTGGGAAAGGAGCTCCTCAAGCCGATACGGCCGCCCTTGATGGCCAGCTGGTGTCAAAGCATTTTAACCTCATAATTTCTCAGGCTGAAAGTTTGGTAGGGTTTGACAGATATGAACACCAGAGTTTGTCTTTCAGTGCAGGAGAAGAATAGCCTGATGAACCCAGAATGAACGCTACGTGAGAAGGAAGAGGAGAGCCACATTCCTGTCTACATGCTGAGAATGTCAAGTATTTAACAGCATAATTAGAGCCACTTCATCACTGGGACCCTCAGCGGCCAACCAGTCAGATATACAATAGATAACACATCCCCATCAGCATGCTCTGAATTCTAACACGGCCCAATTAATCAACAGAGAAAGTTCAAGTTGAGTGGTTTATTTATTAGTCTTACATAATGCAGATCATGTGTTCACTTGTAATTTTCATCTTTACTTAGAAAAACTGTTTATATAATGATATACCTAGGCAACACAATTACAGAGAATGATGAATCGCAGTAATAGAGCTTTTGCAGTATAATCTTTACAGTACATGATTTCACAGAGACTGTTTTTTTTATTCACATCCCATTGAAAGTTTCGACTATTTCATTATTTGAATATATTTCCTTCAAACTGATTTCTGAATATAGATGTATGAATGGGTAATGATGATATCCAATAAGACATTCACTTTGTATCTCTTAAAGCAAGTAGCGGCTCAGTGTGTGTGCGTGCATGAGTAAATGAGAGAGAGCAGCTCACATGTGTAACAGACAGAGAATGAGTGATTAATAGGCAGACGGCGAAAGCAGAGACTGAAAGCAAGGTTTTCTTTTTGTTGCAATATAATGCAATTTCTCCATTCCTTCTAATCTAATTGTTTTCTTAAATTCTAGTGCACACACTAAGAGATCCTGACCTTGCATACAACTGCAGTCAACACTTGGGAGAAATGTTTTCTTTTTATGATCAACTTATGTGGTGTAAGGCAATTATCTACCACTTGCTTTCTGTTATGTTCCTCTGGTACATTCCTCACCTCAATCACATATACAGTATGTTCCCACCACACAAAATGTGTATATGTCCGGAAAAAATTTAAATTATTATTTTGTGTAAAAAAAATACTCCAACTACTAATCGGTTGCTTGCACACACAACAAAGCTTCCTGAAGAGAGACATTTGTACACAAAGCTTGAAGAAATGGCTTTATGGGCTTCTATTCAACACCTGACCTGACTCCAAAGCAAAGACGTAATTTCATGAAGACATCCTCTTATTCCCTTTATCAATGGTGATCTTATGAGTAATAAACAGAGCCATATATATACATACACGAGTATAAGGCTCTGGTAATAACAGTTCACCACATACATTGAATCAAAACAATATAAGATGAACCATGTCAATAGATTAAAATTGAGTTCATGTTTTATTTGATGAATTAAAGGATCTATACACTTACTAAGGCCAATTATAGCACAGGAGGACATTACCAATTTTAATAATAAGGTACTGAATTGCATGATAATAACACCCTACACAGACGTCATGTTAGTGTGTTATCTGAACGAACTCTTGCATCCTACAGACACTCATGAATTCATCATCTCATGAATATAATAAGCTGCTGAAAGTCTGTTCTATAGAGTGCAAGTTCACTGATTCAAATGACTGAAAACAAATGGATAATTAATTCCCTCCTTACTGGAGATCATGGGGGGAATGACGGTCTGTGTTTATCTGGCAGGTAAACACTTCACTCTACTCAGCCACAAGAGCATTAGTGAGGTCGGGCACTGATGTTGGGTGATTATGCCTGGCTCACAGTCAGCATTCCAATTCATCCCAAAGGTGTTCGATAGGGTTGAGGCCTCTTCCACACCGATCTTGACAAACCATTTCTGTATGGGCCTTGCTTTGTGCACGGAGGCATTTTCATGTTGAAACAGGAAAGGGCCTTTCACAAACTGTTGCCACAAAGTTGGAAGCACAGAATCGTCTAGAATGCCATTGTATACTGTAGCGTTGGAACTAAGGGGCCTAGCCCGAACCATGAAAAACAGCCCCAGACCATTATTCCTCCTCCACCAAACTTTACAGTTGACACTATGCATTGGGGCAGGTAGCGTTCTCCTGGCATCAGCCAAATCCAGATTCGTCCATCAGACTGCTAGATGTTGAAGCATGATTCATCACTCCAGAGAACGCGTTTCCACTGCTCCAGAGTCCAATGGCGGCGAGCTTTACACCACTCCAGCCGACACTTGGCATCGCGCATGGTGACCTTAGGCTTGTTTGAGGCTGCTCGGCCATGGAAACCCATTTCATGAAGCTCCCGACAAACAGTTATTGTGCTGACGTTGCTTCCAGAGGTAGTTTGGAACTTGGTAGTGTGTGTTGCAACCGAGGACAGACGAGCTTCAGCACTCAGCGGTCCTGTTCTGTGAGCTTGTGTGGCCTACCACTTCGCAGCTGAGCCGTTGTTGCTCCTAGACGTTTCCACTTCACAATAACAGCACTTACAGTTGACCGGGGCAGCTCTAGCAGGGAAGAAATTTGATGAACTGACCACATTGAAAGTCACTGAGCTCTTCAGTAAGGCCATTCTATTGCCAATGTTTATATATGGAGATTGCATGGCTGTGTGCTCGATTTAATATACTTGTCAGCCACGGGTGTGGCTGAGATAGCCAAAGCCACTAATTTGACCGGGTGTCCATATACTTTTGTGTATATAGTGTATGTTCAAGCCGTTGGCTTCTAGCGACAAAGAAGATGTGAGTTTGGAAAACAAAGTTCAATGACCCCTGCCCCGCAACGTATCTGAATGGTATGTAATCTTATGTTACCTAGCTAATATCGTGATAGCTATCTAACGTTAGCTTGCTAAATGTATCTATAGCTAGCAGAGAAGCGGCGGAGGAGAGAGGAAAAAAACATCTGGCAAAGAGAATCTCAGACATCCATCTGGACCAGCATCATGACAGGGGGAGCCTCTGCTGCCTTGGCCTTGCGGGGCAGCAGGTTGGCCAGGCTCCTGAAGGAGGGTGTGGCATGCAGCAGCTCTTTGAGGCCCGCACGGTACTCACGGCGGATTATGCAGTAGAGCACGGGGTTGAGGCAGCTGTTGGTGTGAGCCAGACACACAGTCAGCGGGAAGGTATAGTTCTGGACGTTGTAATATGCGTTGCTGAAGTGCACCAGGTCAAACTTAATCAGCGCGCCCCACAGCGTCAGCGCCTGGTTGGGCAGCCAGCACAGGAAAAAGGACAGCACCACGATGGCCACCGACTTGGTGACTTTGGACCGACGCTTGTGGCAGCCTTCCAAGCCCTCCGAGCTGGCCGCTCCGCTGATGCGTTGGCTCAACACGAAGCGCAGCAGCAGCAGGTAGCACACAGTGATGACCACCAAGGGGATGACGAAGCCCAGCAGTACTTTCTGTAGCTGGTACAGCCCCAGGAGCAGCTGAGGGTCCCAGCTGCCCGACTCAGGGAATCGTACCAAACACAGCTCCTCGTCGTACAGCTGGGCGCTGGTGGAGTAGATGGCATGGGGCAGGGTGGCTAGCAGCGACACTCCCCAGATGCCCAGGCTGATCCACTTGGCGCTGGCTGCCGCTGCCCGCCTGCTGTGCATCTTGAGGGACGAGGTCACCGCGTAATACCGCGCCACACTCATGGTGGTCAGGAAGAAGACGCTGGCGTACATGTTCATGATGGTCACGGAGCTGATGATCTTACACATTACTTTGCCAAAGGGCCAGCGGAAGTCCAGAGCCGTGTCAATAGCCCAAAAGGGGAGCGTGAGAACAAACTGTAGGTCGGTGACAGCCAAGCCCATTACAAAGCAGTTGATGGAGGACTGCTTCTGACTGTGGCGTGAGTGAAGCAGGTAGAGTGCTAGAGAGTTCCCCACTAGCCCTAGTGCACACACAACGGAGTACACCAGAGCTATCATCACACGCACTGTGATGCTGGAGCCATCTCCCTGTAGCTCCAGTATAGATTCCCTGCTTAAGAAGTGTAGCCAGCAGCGCAGCGACAGGTTGCCAGTAGAGCCACCGTAACCCAGTCCTGCATTATCCTCCAGTACCTGCTCACACACCTCTGGTACCAGGGTCTGCGCACTGTCATTTGGTTGCATGGCTGACTCATTCATTCACAAATCACTCAGCATGGCATGTTGGAGACCTCTTATGCTCAGGAGTAGAAATTGGTAGGAGATGCCACATTCATGATGAGGAAAAACGCAGCCTACATGTCACTTAGAACATACCTGTCCTATTTATTTTCTCTGTGGAGCTGTCTTTTTGCTGAATCCAAGTTGTTCTGCACTGTATAGGTCTGTCCTCTGCAACGCGTATCGTCTCTCATTCACTTCACAGAGCTCGGTGGACGCACCTCTCATTCTTTTATAGATTCCGCGGACGCGCGCAAGGTTCAGGCTCGTAATCACCACCACTGCTTCTCGCCTGTCTCCATTAGAAACAACCCAGATAATGCCATGGTCGTCCTGCAATGTCTGTGCACATATCCCGTTCGTCATTAATAAAGCTCAATACGTTCTGACATTCAATTTAAATATTGTGTGCGTAAAGGTGTCATGGAGTGAGCTCCGTGGCGTTATTGAATTAATTTGGGATTAAACAAAACAAACAAACAACACATTTATTCACCTGAAGTGCCCTATCAGACGATTATGACTCATCCTCAGAATAAACAGAGATGATATTATCAGCCTTGACTCAAGAGGTGTTTTCACTTCTACTTCTCTTTTTCTCAGCGCTGGAAACGTGTTGGAACGGAGAATATGGGGAGAGGAAAGAGGTGGCACAGTGCTACCTACTGCTCAAGTTATTACCTCGGGGATCAAATTGGGCAATTAGAACATTTACAGATATAACCAATTAACAAATAATAATTTACCAGGTCTTTATGGTTGTTTTTCAAAGGGAAAAATATATATATACCAAAATTGTTTCCAACTGACTCAGTTTTAACCGGGTCTTCTGCACAACGCAAGACTGTGTTAGGAGACCGAACACAATTCTTTAACACTCAGGCAAGGTTAATCATCATAAGAGCATGCTTCACAGAATGACCTATTCTTTAACCCCCTTTGATCTCCTCCTCCACAACGACCCTTGCAGCTGATAGTCATCAATTGGCCGAGTCTAGGCACGAATGTGATTGACTGTGGATGAACCCAGGTCGTCTGTGCGGCACAAGACTGTATTAGCCTGCTGACCTAAAGCCTAGGCATTACATTCGCTTGTGGAGCTAACACAAGTTTTCAGGTCTCATGGCACATGAGCATCAGACAGTCATGGAACTAGGGATTAATAGCAGGTGTTAGAAGGATAAAGCTGTCATATTATTTCATCTGAAATGTTTCCCTGGGACACCTTGGCAGATTCTCCCAAGTTCTTTCAGACAGCCTGGTCTCACAGACTAGACGTAAGATAGTAAACGTAAATCCGGTTACTGAAGATGATTAATATAGAACCAGTGACAACCAGTAGACTGTCTGTTAAATATCCAATATTTTATCCAATCTCTTCAATCTATTCAGTGAATTAACCATTGTGTTTGTAACAGTGTAAACAAACTTCTGGCTATAGGAAGAAAACCTTTAGAGAATGTAGACGGTTAAAGGCAGGCAAAGTAAAATTAGGACCATCATCTTTCTGGCACAGCATGGTGGAGGCCGATCAACAGGGTCAGATTAGATACATTAATTGTAAATAATTAGTATTCCAATGGGGGGATACAGAGCAATCCAACACATTCAAATCTTGCATAATAACAGTCGTCTTGAACGGTGGTTCCCAAACTCGGTCCTGGGGTCCCCCCTGGGTGCATGTTTTGGTTTTTGCCCAAGCACTACACAGCTGATTCAAATAATCAAAGCTTGATGATGAGTTGGTTAATTTGAATCAGCTGTGTAGTGCTAGGGCAAATACCAAAACATGCACCCAGGGGGGACCCAGGACCAGGTTTGGGGAACCCTAGTCTGGCAGATTATTCTACACTCACCACTTGAATAATGTAGCCGGATCTTTTCTGCTACTAGACCAAGATCATCCACACAATCTACAACACATACTAAAATAACCTTGTTATATCCCCAAGTCACACATAGTAATGGAATAGGAGCATTCTTTCAGACTTTTCTCACATGTTCTTCTGACACACTAGCCATCATATCAGATATCATGCATTACAAATGCTCAGTTATAAACTGGGTGAGTCGAGACCTGACAGCCGTGGTATATCAGACCGTATACTACGGGTATGACAAAACATTTATTTTTACTGCTCTAATTACGTTGGTAACCAGTTTATAATAGCAATAAGGCACCTCGGGGGTTTGTGATATATGGCCAATATACCACGGCTAAGGGCTGTATCCAGGCACTCTGCGTTGCGTCGCGCTTAAGAACAGCCCTTAGCCGTAGTATATTGGCCATATGCCACACCTCCTCGGGCCTTATTGTTTAAGTAACACACCATTTCTGAAAAGAAGACATTGGTGCATTTTACTTGTGTGTATCAGTGTGAAATCATTGAAAAAAGTAGCCATTGTATTGATGAGAAGGCCTGCCATTTCCCTGGGAGGACGAATAGGAATAACATTGTGCTATGCGTAAAGGTAGCAAGCACAATAGAGTATATTTATCAATGCAAATGTTTACTGAGTAAAGTTAGTAAAAACATACAGTACGTTGTCTTCCAAAAATGTATCTTAACAATGTCCTTCATTGAGAATTTCCCCTGAGTCCAGTGACCAGTACAGTACAGTATACACCAGATATTGTTCCCTCTTCCTGTTCATTGTGACGTCAATAGTGGCTTTCACATTAGACCACTATGATCTGGATGGATCTCCTCCGAATCAATCTGTATGAGGAACGTCATCTCGTTTGCTTTCACATTACGATTCACATGGCTCTGATCGCTTCCTTTCTAGAATGTTTGTTTTCAGAATACTGGAGAAAGGCCAGGGGTGTGGTGTGACCAGGTGGTGTGTGGCCTAGAGTGGTGTGTGACCTAGAGTGGTGTGTGGCCTAGAGTGGTGTGTTGCCTAGAATGGTGTGTTGCCTAGAGTGGTGTGTTACCTAGAGTGGTGTGTGACCTAGAGTGGTGTGTGACCTAGAGTGGTGTGTGTCCTAGAGTGGTGTGTGACCTAGAGTGGTGTGTGGCCTAGAGTGGTGTGTTGCCTAGAGTGGTGTGTTGCCTAGAGTGGTGTGTGACCTAGAGTGGTGTGTTGCCTAGAGTGGTGTGTGGCCTAGAGTGGTGTGTGGCCTAGAGTGGTGTGTGACCTAGAGTGGTGTTGCCTAGAGTGGTGTGTACCTAGAGTGGTGTGTGGCCTGAGTGGTGTGTGACCTAGAGTGGTGTGTGACTAGAGTGGTGTGGGCCTACAGTGGTGTGTGACCTAGAGTGGTGTGTGACCTAGAGTGGTGTGTGGCATAGAGTGGTGTGTTGCCTAGAGTGGTGTGTTGCCTAGAGTGGTGTGTGCCTAGAGTGGTGTTTGCCTAGAGTGGTGTGTGACCTAGAGTGGTGTGTGACCTAGAGTGGTGTGTGACCTAGAGTGGTGTGTGACCTAGAGTGGTGTGTGACCTAGAGTGGTGTGTGGCCTAGATGTGGTGGTGTTGGCCTAGAGTGGTGTGTTGATAGTGTGGTGTGTGACCTAGAGTGGTGTGTGACCTAGAGTGGTGTGTGACCTAGAGTGGTGTGTTGACCTAGAGTGTTGTGTGACCTAGAGTGGTGTGTGACCTAGAGTGGTGTGTGCCTAGAGTGGTGTGTGCTAGAGTGGGTGTGACCTAGAGTGTGTGTGACCTAGAGTGGTGTGTGACCTAGAGTGGTGTGTGGCTAGAGTGGTGTGTGCCTAGAGTGGTGTGTTGCCTAGAGTGGTGTGTGACCTAGAGTGGTGTGTGGACCTAGAGTGGTGTGTGACCTAGAGTGGTGTGTGGCCTAGAGTGGTGTGTTGACCTAGAGTGGTGTGTTGCCTAGAGTGGTGTGTGACCTAGAGTGGTGTGTGACCTAGAGTGGTGGTGTGACCTAGAGTGGTGTGTGACCTAGAGTGGGGTTGTCAGAGTGGTGTGTGCCTAGAGTGGTGTGTGACCTAGAGTGGTGTGTGCCTAGAGTGGTGTGTGGCCTAGAGTGGTGTGTGACCTAGAGTGGTGTGTGACCTAGAGTGTGTTGGACCTAGAGTGGTGTGGACCTAGAGTGGTGTGTGACCTAGAGTGGTGTGTGGCCTAGAGTGGTGTGTGACCTAGAGTGGTGTGTTGCCTAGAGTGGGTGTGTGACCTAGAGTGGTGTGTGACCTAGAGTGGTGTGTTGCCTAGAGTGGTGTGTGACCTAGAGTGGTGTGTGACCTAGAGTGTGTGTGACCTAGAGTGGTGTGTTGCCTAGAGTGGTGTGCTGGGCCTAGGTGGGGTTGACCTAGAGTGGTGTGTGACCTAGAGTGTGGTTGCCTAAGTGGTGTGTGCCTAGTGTGGTGTGTGCCTAGAGTGGTGTGTGACCTAGAGTGGTGTGTTGCCTAGAGTGGTGTGTGACCTAGAGTGGTGTGTGACCTAGAGTGGTGTAGACCTAGAGTGGTGTGTGGCCTAGAGTGGTGTGTGACCTAGAGTGGTGTGTGACCTAGAGTGGTGTGTTGCCTAGATGGTGTGTGACCTAGAGTGGTGTGTGACCTAGAGTGGGTTGACCTAGTGGTTTTGCCTAAGTGGTGTGTGACTAGAGTGGTGTGTTGACCTAGAGTGGTGTGTGACCTAGAGTGGGTGTGCCTAGATGGTGTGTGACCTAGAGTGTGATGTGTGACCTAGAGTGGTGTGTTGACCTAGAGTGAGTGTGTGACCTAAGTGGTTGACCTAGAGTGTGTGACCTAGAGTGGTGTGTGCTAGAGTGGCTGTGTGACCTAGAGTGGTGTGTGCCTAGAGTGGTGTGTGACCTAGGTGGTGTGACCTAGAGTGGTGTGTGACCTAGAGTGGTGTGTTCTAGATGTTTGGTTGCCTAGATGTGTGGACCTAGAGTGGTGTTGACCTAGAGTGGGGTTCGACCTAGAGTGTTGTGACTAGAGTGTTGTTGCCTAGAGTGGTGTGTGACCTAGAGTGAGTGTGGCTTAGAGTGTGTGTGCCTAGAGTGTTGTGTGCCTATGAGTGCTGTTTGACCTAATGGTGTGTGACCTAGAGTGGTGTGTGACCTAGAGTGTTGTGCCTAGAGTGGTGTGTGTCCTAGTGTGGTTTTGCCTAGAGTGGTGTGTACCTAGAGGGTGTGTGATAGTGGTGTGTGTGACCTAGTGTGGGTGTTTGCCTAGAGTGTGTGGACCTGAGTGGTGTGTTGCCTAGAGCTGTGTGTGGCCTAGAGTGGTGTGTTGGCCTAGAGTGGGTGTGGGACCCTAGAGTGGTGTGTGACCTAGGAGTGGGGTGAGACCTAGAGTGGGTGTGTGGCCCCTAGAGTGGTGTGTGACCTAGAGTGGTGTGGTGACCTAGAGTGGTGTGTGGACCTAGAGTGGTGTGTGACCTAGAGTGGTGTGTTGCCTAGAGTGGTGTGTGACCTAGAGTGGTGTGTGTGACCTAGAGGTGGTGTGTGACCTAGTGTGGTGTGTTGCCTAGAGTGGTGTGTGAACTAGAGTGGTGTGTGATTAGAGTGGTGTGTGGACCTAGAGTGGTGTGTTGCCTAGAGTGGTGTGTGACCTAGAGTGGTGTGTGACCTAGAGTGGGTGTGGCATAGAGTGGTGTTGCTAGAGTGGTGTGTTGCCTAGAGTGGTGTGTGACCTAGAGTGGTGTGTTGCCTAGAGTGGTGTGTGACCTAGAGTGGTGTGTGACCTAGAGTGGTGTGTGGACCTCGAGTGGTGTGTTGCCTAGAGTGGTGTGTGACCTAGAGTGGGGTTCGACCTAGAGTGTTGTGTGACCTAGAGTGGTGTGTGACCTAGAGTGTTGTGTGGCTTAGAGTGGTGTGTGACCTAGAGTGGTGTGTGGCCTAGAGTGGTGTGTTGCCTAGAGTGGTGTGTGACCTAGAGTGGTGTGTTGCCTAGAGTGGTGTGTGACCTAGAGTGGTGTGTGACCTAGAGTGGTGTGTGACCTAGAGTGGTGTGTTGCCTAGAGTGGTGTGTGACCTAGAGTGGTGTGTGGCCTAGAGTGGTGTGTGACCTAGAGTGGTGTGTGACCTAGAGTTTTGTGTGACCTGGAGTGGTGTGTTGTCTAGAGTGGTGTGTTGCCTAGAGTGGTGTGTGACCTAGAGTGGGGTTCGACCTAGAGTGTTTTGTGACCTAGAGTGGTGTGTGACCTAGAGTGTTGTGTGGCTTAGAGTGGTGTGTGACCTAGAGTGGTGTGTGGCCTAGAGTGGTGTGTTGCCTAGAGTGGTGTGTGACCTAGAGTGGTGTGTTGCCTAGAGTGGTGTGTGACCTAGAGTGGTGTGTGACATAGAGTGGTGTGTGACCTAGAGTGGTGTGTTGCCTAGAGTGGTGTGTGACCTAGAGTGGTGTGTGGCCTACTGTGGGGTGTTGCCTAGAGTGGTGTGTGGCCTAGAGTGGTGTGTTGCCTAGAGTGGTGTGTGACCTAGAGTGGTGTGTGACCTAGAGTGGTGTGTGGCCTAGTGTGGGGTGTTGCCTAGAGTGGTGTGTGGCCTAGAGTGGTGTGTTGCCTAGAGTGTTGTGTTACCTAGAGTGGTGTGTGACCTAGAGTGGTGTGTGACCTAGAGTGGTGTGTGGCCTAGAGTGGTGTGTGACCTAGAGTGGTGTGTGACCTAGAGTGGTGTGTTGCCTAGAGTGGTGTGTGGCCTAGAGTGGTGTGTGACCTAGAGTGGTGTGTGACCTAGAGTGGTGTGTTGCCTAGAGTGGTGTGTGACCTAGAGTGGTGTGTGACCTAGAGTGGTGTGTTGCCTAGAGTGGTGTGTGACCTAGAGTGGTGTGTGACTTAGTGACCAGTCAGTAAAACCAGCATGGTGTTTACCTTGTGTGCTGCTGCCTGGGTTAGACACAGGTCGTAGTGATACAGTGTTACAAGTCAAACAGAACCAAAAAACAGCATTCAAAAAATGTGGTTCAATTATTTCCAACTCACTACAAGTATGGTACTACGCTGAGAAACATATAGGCAACACTAAGAAGTTCTGTGAATCTTCTCCTATATGGCATAACCATAACCTGCTGACAAACAATAAGCATTTTGTGTACCCATTGTGGGCGGATATGGGTGTGCGTACCTTGTGAGACATGTATAATGATAAGGGGCTAATACCTATCCAGGACCTCAAACAAATGTGTTCACTTCCAGGCTTTTCATGGTTCCTTTACTTACAGTTAAGATCTTTGTTAAAAGCTTATGGTGTACCATGGGATGCCCCGTTAACATCCCACATAATGCTTACATGGATAGACCCTTCATTAACTTCTAAAATGGTCTCTGCCACTTATGATTGCCTGCTGTCTGTTAAATGCTCTACATTGGGTGTCACTCTAGTTTGGAACCGCAAAATGCAGGGATTGGGGCACGACCTGAACTGGGATACCATTTGGGAAAATGTATTTGTTACCTCTAAAAACCCAGCACACCAGCTTATACATTATAAGCTTATACATAGAAGTTATGCAACCCCATTTAGACGTTTTAAGATGAAGCTGATTCCCACTCCAATATGTGATAGATGCTGTTGGCACACTAATGCACATGTTTTGGGAATGTCCTGTGATGTCCCAGTTCTGGTCACATGTTTCCGATTTCCTTACAAAAATTATGGGTTTCCCTGTGAACAAAGATCCACCTTTATTTTTGTTGAATGATGACTCTTCATTTGTACAGCAACTGGTTCAGAAAATAATAATTTATGTGGGGTTAACAGCAGCAAAAAAGGTTATCCTTAGTGCTCGGATTACCCCTACAATCCTCTCACCTCAAACATGCTTATCATATTTTCAAGATATTGTTTGTATAGAGTGATCAGTGATAAACAAAGCTTGGGCAAATACAGTTGATGCATGGGATGTATTATGCAAAACTCTATCAGATATCAACAACTCTTGACCAAGCAGTGGACCTACATGGTAAGGGAGTGGGGGGACGACATTTTCTTTTCTGAGAATAATCTAGAATATTTTTTATTGTAAACTCTACTTCCTTCCTGTAAATGTCATATTGTGCACTCAAATAATTGCCTCCTGACAGTATGTAAATATTTATACTGTATGTTAGTGTTGTCATGTCGGCTAGTATTTGTAACGTGATACTGCCTTGTATGTAGTATATTGTGAAATAGAATAAATGTTGATCACAAAAAAATATGAACAGAACCACATCTTGGCATGAAATCACAAATGGAACTATTCTTTCTGTTGTCACTTTTCCTGATGGAGGTAATGAAAATGTACTCCACTCCACCCAAAGTGAAAGAAGGTATAAGTCATGTTTGGTTCGGTTTCATTTGCCCATGTGACTCTCATTCAAAAACAAATAAGCAAAGAGAAAGTTTAAACCACTCAATAGCTTTTCCTGGAGTTTAATACAAGCACTGAGTTTATCTGGGTCAGCATGCACTTCAAAACAGAAAAGCAATTTGCAGGATTAAAGGGGCAATCTGGGATTTGCCACTTGTTTTAGTAAACAGCTGAGGGATGGGGCTTGAGAAATGTAACCACTCTCCAATTAATTGTCAGAGCTATACATGCAAGGAGCTATTGATGCAAGGACTGACCATCCATGAGATCAAACCCATGTTTTGAATCTACACAATGTTTGAATGATGTAAAACAAGCTTATATTTTGGGTCCTGATGGGTTAAGAGAGTTGAAATAAATTCATGAGGCATTTATAAGTTATATTCTTCAATAATCAATGGTATCATTCCAATCCCGGATTGCCCCTTTAAACAAGTAAAAATGAGGACATCTCTTTGACTCTGTCCTTCACCCTTTTTTGTCCCTCTCTCAGGGTCTGACTTAGTGGGATTCGACCCGTGGGAGGAGAACTCCAGGCCGGTGGAAGATGGACAATCAAAGTGGGTCATAGAGAAGCTGATTAAAGATGCTAGTCGCTGAGCTACTCTCCCCATGATTAAAGACTGAGAGGCACCACAGCAGATAACAATCGACACAAACAAGCCACCTTCCCTACCGGGTCGGGGTGTGCGTCTGCAGACACGCAAGCAGATGTGCACACACACACAACGTCCAGACACATGTCATTCATGTCAACCTAGGTTAAATAAAAACCATTGTTAGGAAGGTTGGTATAGTGTCTTTGTCATTTCCACTGACCTACTACCTATTTGACAATAAGACACTGTACACTTGAAACAGAATACAACATCTCCACCTTGCCAGTCTGTCCCCATCCCCAAACCCCTTGATGTTGAGTGTGTCAGATATTGTCGGACTAGCCATACTGTTTCAGAATTTGATATTAAATTATCAAATTGGGGACCAAGAAGCACTGGAGAGAGAACACATTTATTCACTTGCTGATGGGGTACTTTTTGGGTTCTGGGGTTCTATTGACAATCCAATGAGGCGAGGGCCCACTGGGCGCAGACGTCAGTTTAACGTCTGGTTTAAATTTACATTTGGTTGAGTTGTCAACAAACGTGAATTCAACGTGAAATCAGCACAAAAAAAATCACCATGTCATTGGATTTAGGTTAAAAGTTGGGTGAAAAAAAGACTACATCCCCTTACGTTGATGACTTTTTTCAAATCCAATCAGTTTTCGAAGTTGGTTCAACGTCATCACATTGCATCTTTTGGTTGAAATTACATGGAAACAACGTTGATTCAACCAGTTTTTGCCCAGTGAGTGGGGGTGGGCCCGGAGTGTCACACTCACAGACAAGTAAACAAACTCTGGCTGAGGGGATGTCATGGTCTGATAGAGCATTGAGCAAGAGCATTGATTGGTGTATTTTGTCAGTGGAAGGTTATCTTACCTCTGCAATACCTTTGACCTAGTTCCCTGTGGCTCACTGTCTCCCTCTGTAAATCCCTGTCGTTTCAGACATTGTAAATATGCCACTGGGATATTTAAATTGTCAGCTTTTCATGCACCACATTACTTTTGAGAAATCTTGTACTGTTTCTCTTGAACCACTTTTGAAATATTAATGGAATGAGCTACTTTAAAAAAGAACGAGACTACACTTTAAAATGTTTAGTTTATTTGAGACAGTTTTATCAATGCTTAGCAAGATTGTCAATAAAGTTATTGTAACATAGTATTCAGTACATGCAAAATCATCCTCTGAATTATTTGTAAAGCTCAAAGTTGTACACACCATCAGTTATGAAAAACAATAATTATGTCTGTCTCAAAATACACAAATCTACACTGTCAATGTTAAAACAGTCATAGAGGGGCAAGAGAAGCTCAATTCATCTTGAAAAGCAATTTTACAGTATACAGAAATCCAGATCAAGTCAGAAAACATCCTTAAAATAATACAAAACAGAATAACAAACAAGAAAAAAAGCATATATATAATGTAAATAATATAACAGGCAAAAGCAGGAATAATTTATTATTCCCCTAACTCATAGTGTAAACAAGAGCCTTAGGCATGTGCTACTCTATGTTTCATCATATGAAGTGTCTGGAGATGGGAGCAGAGCAGAGGAATCCTGCTGGGAATTCTCTCTCCGATCACATGTCATCAGCATGTGGGCGTAGTGTGGCTCTGCGGTGTGGATTCCAAGTCACTGTAGCTATATGGCCGGTAATGGGATCTCCCTGGAAATGGCCTTGCTCGTCCAAGCTATTATTTTGAGACATGGGGTCAAAATTGGACAGTCCCTGGCTGCTGTGACCGGCGCCCAGTTTACCCAGCAGAGACGTAATCTCATCTACCCCCTGGTCTCCCAGGACATGGTGGTGTGGAGGCTTGGGCTTGTCGTCTGCAGTTTGGTACGGCTGGTCAATCACATGCAGCACTCTGGAGGACTGGAGGTTGTGCAGGGACCGTGACTGGACTGCAGGGGCGAGAGGGACACAGGTTACAGGTGAGTTAAATGTTGAACTACAGTATGTCACACATATATCAACAGTCCAACTTTAAGTCGTTAACTGTACGCCACCCTCAACAATCTTGTACCTTGGCCTTCGGTTGTACAATTACCTAAAGACAACTAGGAATTGATTATATTCATAGAGCTGACGGACAGTCAGTTAAGATGACAAATTAAATTTAAGTAATTCACAATCTTAAAACCTTGATGAGACCATTATATATATTTGAAGTCCATTTCATATTTTATCCAACAGTTCCTCCAACTGTTAAGAGGAATTTGACAGTCAGACAGGCTGATGAGAAGAGTGTTCAATAATACATGGTCTCTGTGCTGAGGGTTGTCAGCTCAGCTCTTTGATGTGAATTGGTGGGCCACCTTGCTCTGCAGAGTTGTTTCAGCACTGGCACTGTAGCAGCGTCTGGCAGTAGGAGTGAGAGGAGCTCTAGTCTATTCAGCTCTCCAGCTGTGATTTGAGGCAGGGGGTATGGGGTGGTGGGGCGAGGTTTGGCCAGACGGTGCAGGAGGCTGACTCACCCCTCACTGGGCTGAAGTCCCCTCCTTGGCTGACCTTGGGCTCGGCGAAAGGGTTCAGGCTAGGGAAGAGGATGAGGGAGAAGGACAGGAGCAGTACCTGGGGAAAAAGGGAAGGGGAAAAGATCACATAATTTGCACTTTGCCAAAGTCAACGAGGTTTAGCAGTTTGGGAGAGCTTCCACTCCCCAGTGGAGCTCCAGAGTTGAAGATTCACTTTTTCAGTAACTGTTTAGAACGGTTCAGTTAATCCCAGTACATGGGCATCATTTTCCGAAAGGCATTAGAAGAGATACAAACTCATTCATATTCATAGTGGATTTACAAGTCTAATTTCCCGCTTGCACTGATGTGGTGTGATTTGTTCTGTCCAATTATGTTGTAGACAATGGAATCAATGGTTTGCCTCTCTGGAGTGTATCTATCTGTGTCTATACTTACATCTGTATGTCTGGCATACATCTTTCTCTCACTCCACCTGTCTGTCTCGCTCTAATCTCATATGGTGTATGGCCTGATCTAGTAAAACTGTTTCTTAAAGTGACACTTCTCTTTACCAGGACACAAGTCCCAGTCTGGGTGGTCTTTTTGGATCCGCCCATGACCAGAGTCTGCAGCCTGCGCAGCTGCTCCATCAGAGACCTGGGAGACACAGAGGCTCAATTAGCAAACGTTGCCACCGGGTGTACAGAGCCAGAAACAGAGCAGGGAGAACAGATTAGTGTGGTGTTCCCTCACGTGTTGCATTTCTCCAGCTGGAACACTTTCCTCTGTAGCTCCTGGTTGTGTGTGTTGCAGGCAGACATCCTGGAAGACAAACAGCAAGGGAATTTCCCAGATGAGACTGACGAGCTGCTGCTGCTTGATCAGTCCAAGAAACATATTAGCTAGCTATCACTCTAATCACCACTGAAAAACACTTTTGTATAATTAGATCGTACTGTGACAGTCAAGTACACTGAATTACACATTTCTGACTGAAGTGGGCCCTGTGAAGTTTCTCTGTGCCACACAACTTAAGCAGAAACACATTGAGAATCTCACTGCCGATAAGTACTTCTCACAGTGGGAGGCCGTTCTATCTCTTGCTAGAACTAAAGCGGTACGTGCTGCGGGCCGACCCAGTAGAGACAAAACTACAGATTCTATTTGTAGAATCGCAATGCTCGTCATTGGCCAACAACTTGACTATGTACCAATCAGAGAGCACGAACCCCCACGTGGGGGAGCCAACAAAAAAATGAAAAAAATTGGTAATTTTCTCCGTACATCCACGGATGAGCCAGTCACACTTCATATACAATGTAAACTATGGGATAGGAACTAGCTAAGTGCACAGGCGCAATGTACACAACACTAAATACTTCCTCCAAGCTAGCTAACCACTGTAGCTAGTATTGACGTTATAATTAAATCACAATGGATTAGCTAGTTTCCATGAAACAGCTGCCTGTGTTAGCTGCTGAGTTATTGCAGTGTCCTTAGCTAGCTAGCTATGTTGTGCTAGCTAGCGAATATGCTAATGTTAGCTAGCGAAACATTTGGCTATGGGATGGCACTGGCAGTAAGGGATTTTGGAGAGTGAATTAAATTGTTTCTTCATCGTCTTGCTAGGTAGTTATCTAGTTGTGGCCATCTGGTTAGTATCAACAAGGGCTTTCTACAAAATAGAAACATTAGCGCAGATAGCTTGGAATCTAGACCACAGGCAATAAGCACGGATATGCATTGCCAAACAATGCTACTGCCACCTTCTGGTTTGGAGTACTTTACAAGGCTGAGTGGCTGACGACTTCCAAGGTCTTTGCTGTGTGAACACAATAGAGATTGACTGCCGACACTCTGTTCAGAGGTGCTAAGTATTGTCGGCAGGCAAACGTTTGACAATCCTACCATTGTGTCTGCGCATTCACACACTGTTTCTTATAGGCAGAATGCAGTCAAAAACGTGATTTTTCTGTGTTTTATATATATTTCCACACTATGAGGTTGTAATAATACTGTGAAATTGTGAAAATGATGATAATGCCCTTTTAGTGTAAGAGCTGTTTGAAAAGATCGCCTGAAATTTCAGCCTGTTTTGGTGGGTAGGTGTTTTGACCTGCCAGGTGGCAGGTAACATTTGTTAATAGACCAATAAGAACCAATGACTTCCAAACCTTTCTGCCAATAACAGCTAGTTTTTTGTTTTCCCCTCCCCACTCAGAAATTGCTTTTTGCTAAGAAGCTATTTGTCTTTATTTTTGACCATTTTAATTGAAAACAATCACAGAAAGGTACTTAATTGCTATCTAGAAATTATTTGATATTGAGATAAAAATGGCTGCATTGGACCTTTAAATTAAACCTTTTGTGCTCAGCACCCTGTGACATGTTCCAAATATCTTGTTAGTTTGTAGAAGTTTTTTATTGATTTTTGGCAGTTCTAGTCAGAATTGATCTACTTTTAATTGAGGTCTGTGAGTCCCTGCCTTATCCATTTGCCAGTACCTGCTCTCCAGACCATCGATATATTCCTTTTTCTTCTTCCTGCTCTCCTGAGCCGACTGCTTGTTCCGGATCTTTCTGCGAATTTTCTTCAGAATCCTCTCCTCATACTAACAGAAACAGACAAAGGAAGTACATATTTAACATGTTTACACACTTTTCGAAATCCTCAACAGCCATAAGTTGATCTGTGAAGTTGCAAAGTGTGCAAAAAAGTTTGACCTTTGTGAGAGGTAGTTGGCTAGGCAGAGTCACCCCCTCCTTGGCCAGCAGTTTTTTCTCATCCTCATTAAGAATCAACTCTTGGAAGGACTGTTGGGACTGCTGTGGGGGCTGGAAGTGAGATGGAAATGTTAATACAGTAAGTAATACGTACAGCATCACAACCAGTGGCCAGCTGTAATGGGTTTTTCAGAGTGAATGGAGGGAGTGCAGAGTTACACAGCAGACAGCATAGCCCTCCATCCCTCTCATTTCATGCTTTGCTCATGCCAATTACATTGCCTGAACCCATGCCCTGCTGCGACTGTCTCTTTTAAGTTTAACCTGTACTCCACTTGCTTCATGCGCTCCGCAGATTTTATTTGAATGACTTTACCCCTCTAACCCATTCCTCTCCACTCCAACACACTCACTCACCTACACACAAACTATTACAGACACACTCCCCCAAGCGCACACAAACACAAAAGCACATTCACACACACGCACACACTAACACACACACACCCTTCATTATCACTCACCGGCTCAGATGTGCCAGAGAGCAGTAGGTCCTTGATAGTGAGGGGAAAGCCAGAAGACAGCTGGGTTGTGTGTACATCAGAGGAACACTCTGTCCCCCCAGTCCTGCCTGGGTAGAAGCCTGAATACAAGCCATCTGTAACCACACAGAGAGACGTGATGTGACCAGACAGAAGGGCCATAATTTGTCTGTGATTGTGTTGATACTGAGACAATGTAGGCCTTTGCCTAATGAATACATAGAGCCTACAAACACAGACTGTGTTGCTTTCAAAGGATGAACTTCTGTTCCAATGTTTGACATTAACAAATTACAATACTTAATCACATATTCCGCATGAAGTAATAATGTAACTGTCTCTGTTGCTTATTTTTACCATGAAACTTTAAAGCAAGTATTTGTGATACTTTCTGTGCTTAGTCATTTGTGCCAGCTTTGTCTTACTGATATCAATGGAGAAGTTGGCATCCAGGGCGACCTTGGTTTGTGGCTGTGGGGGGATGAAGTGGGGCTCCATCAGAGGGCTCTCAGGGCGCTGGGGGCTGTCCATCTGATCCGAGTGCTGATCCTCACTGATGCCACTGTCACTGGGAGAGGGAGACCATAGGGGGGACCCCGACACTGAGTCACTGCCACTCAGGAGGGCATTCAGGAAGTCCTCGCCCTGTTGCTCTGCTGGACGCAGCACCTGCCAAATGACACACCAAATGTGATAATTACTGTACAGCCAAACTGGAGAGAGTGGTTGAGAATGGCAGGCTAGACATGGGAATCACATAGTAGACACAGCCAAGGGGAAATTTTAAAAACACTGCAGGATAACATCACAGAGTGAGAGATTTCACTCCACTCACGTTTGGCTCGTGGATTGGCCAGGCATGGTTGTCATGGTCTCCCATCTCCTCGTGACGGAGGATGCCATCGTTTTGATCAAACAGCAAATCAAGCAGCTCAATCCCGTCGCAACCCTGGAACAGAACAGGCCACTTAATGACATGTTGCTCTACGTTTACAACTGAGAGATAACATACAAAGAGCCTTACAGGATGGCTGTAAAAGCAATCATAACCAGGACTAATGCTTTTTATTGCCATTATCTCATGGCACTCCTATCTAAAAAAATGTATCAGTTTGACTATGCCCTTCAATACGTGAGTTAAATTAAATTGATCTAGTTTTGATTAATTTGAAAGGAGAAAATTGTAAGACTATTCCTTTATAGGCTACACAAAGCACCCACATTCCTTTGTAGACTACACAAAGCACCCACATTCCTTTGTAGACTACACAAAGCACCCACATTCCTTTGTAGACTACACAAAGCACCCACATTCCTTTGTAGACTACACAAAGCACCCACATTCCTTTGTAGACTACACAAAGCACCCACATTCCTTTGTAGACTACACAAAACACCCACTCCCATTCACTGGCACGTAGATACAGTATGTTGCCTCCTCTGAACTTTGTTAGACAGTACATATAACCTTGGCTGCCCTAATAACACAAATTACTAAACAAATTATCCAGGAGACACTAAAACACAGAAACTAAGACATAGGCCCTGTTACCTGATCTGAATAGTGGTCCATCATTTCAGTACTAGGGTGGCACAGGAAAAAACTCCCCAAAATAAGACAAATCCAATCAAATGTTCTGTTTCCTTTGTTGTGAAGGATCTCTGTCCAGATGACCGTGTCTCTACTGTATCTCCTTGCTCTTGTTCTGAGGTCCAAAGTTTAAACTCCAACACAACACACCCAGTCATCAACCCCAGGCCTGTCATCCCATTGGCCAGCTTGTAAAGATGAGATTTGATTGGCAGGGAAAGACTGACAACTATGGTAAGTCTGTCTGTCTAGAAAAGAAAGAACCTTCTTCATGGATGGATGGATGAATAGATCAGAGTTCATACTTTCCTATCATCTTGTTGTGTTTGATAGCAGATTGACAGGGATTGAGGATAACCTTTGACACAGTTTCTGTGTGATGTTAGTTAATTCATACAGTATACATGCTCTTTATGGCCTGTCAATGAGAGCTTGATTGAACATCCTTCATTAGCAAACAGTTCTGAGCTCATAAAAGTAATCAATGCATATGATAAGATGTATCCATTTGAAACAATCCCCATGAAAATGAAAGAATGCTTTTATAATCTAATCTTTCTTTGTTCATACAAATAACTGTTTTAAATCGATCAATTCATTCAAGTCTGACCAGAAAAAACATGACCTTATCACAACTCTCTCACAATTCCTCAGAAGAAGACAAAAATGTAGATCTCCAGGAAGTTGTTTCTGCATTTGGAAGGCTCCACCTGTTGTTATTACTGGGATTCAGTTGGGCTTATGACTAAGGCCTAGGACCGCAGCACAGGCATAAATCAATAACAAACAACACATGGGGATATTTTGATGTGTCCTCTTTTCTCAAATACATTCAAACTTGTTCCCATTTTAGCTGCAATGATGAGATGCAAAGACCCCAGACTGAAATGGTGGCCCTGCATTGAAAATAGAAAAAGTGATGAACTGCCAGTCTCAGTGTTTTAATGTGCAAGACAATCTATTCAAATCTCACTTTGTCAAATTCCAAAACAGATGTCTGTTTCTGTTCTCAAACTATAAATCAGAAGGCCTTATGAATGGTATTACAAAGTTGATGGCAGATGCTTTGGCAAGGCTATTAGTCTGTACATCTCAATAGTGACAGAGCTATTTCTCCAACATCTACATGCTAATAAAGCACATACAGCAGAGAAGCTATGCACCATTTATTCATATTTCTCATAAGACAGTTTACATTAAATTGTTCTCCTATCAGACACTATTTATTTTCCTATCACATTTCAGGAGAAGACCCAGATGCAGCCAGCGTCGAAGTAACAAAAGTTTATTACAAAAACAGGGGGCAGGCAAACGACAGGTCAAGAGCAGGCAGAGGTCAGTAATCCAGATCAGAGTCCAAAAGGTACAGAACGGCAGGCAGTCTCAGGGCAGGCAGAGGTCAATAATCCAGGGTGGCGTGATAAGGTACAGAACGGCAGGCAGGGTCAGGGCAGGCAGAATGGTCAAAACTGGGAAAACAGGAACTTGAAAAAGACAGGCACAAGGGGAAACCCACTGGTAGGCTTGACGAAATAAAACGAACTGGCAACAGACAAACAGAGAACACAGGTATAAATACACTGGGGATATTGGGGAAGATGGGCGACACCTGGAGGGGGGTGGAGACAATCACAAAGACAGGTGAATCAGATCAGGGTGTGACACTTCCGTCTCATGTGAGTTGTCAACGTCTTAATTTTCTATTATGTCCATAAAGCCTGACCCTTTATCTCTCCCTATCTCCTTGCTCACTGTATCACTTACAATATCTGTCACTCTTTCCTTTAGTCTGTCAGTGTCCTGCGAGCTGTGTCTTCAGTTTGCAATTGGATCACTGCTAATAACCATGATGGTCTTCATATTGTGGCAGGATTACATAAACCTTATTGCTCCTCTATCTGATGGGAAATGGGTCCAAAGGGTAAAACCCTGTTCTTAGCCTGCAAGTTGCACTTGTACATTGTTACAACATCTGAAAAAGCAATACAGCTATCACTACTCTCAGACTCTGTGGCTTTGGGATTACCCTTATGAATATAACCTGATGTAAACAATCATTGCTCCTACAAGCAAACATTCACGTGTTGTTTGTTTAAAGCATACATCCAATTGGTACAGTACAGTCTGTGCAAAAATTATTTATACAAAAATGTAGAGTAACTGAGTCAAAAGCAACTGTGAGTGTGAGTCAAAAGCAAGTGGGTGTTAAATTGGCTGTATGTGAAGAACTGAATTACCTTGTTAATGGAGCATAAATGGAGATCATGAAAAATAACGTTGAGCATCTGTTTGGTCCGAATGATACTTGAATGAAAAGCACTTAGCAGACTGAGTCAGAGCAAATTTGTGGTCATTCTCGTGGTCACTCTGAATGGTTTTGAACAGTCTTAGTCTACGCACAATCACAATCAGTCTGCGTTCAACTTCTTGCCCAATCAGCAGAAGTCCAATACACAGTGTGGGATTTCAATCACGTTTAATGTTTTGAATATCAGCTTGAATCACGCCCCATCATATTGACCAGATGTCTCCATCTCAGTGAAAGTAAATCTAAAAGTATTCAAAAGTTTGTCTGGATTTAGGCATATTGGTTAAAATCAAGAAGTCTAAGGACTCACAAAAGTTATTTAAAACTATGTAATGTTCCTAAAAACAGCTCTAACAATGGCACAATGACCTTTCACCCTATGGTCTTTTGGTTTTGGAACAGGACATTCTGTTATATAACTCTATGTTTTACTGTACTATCATTAGATAATGATAGTAACACCGGTGTTTTATGGCACTTCAGGTTGAGTTAATATGCAGTTGGATCTCACTAGTGATGCAGAAGGAGGTCTGAACTCGGCACAGAGGCACCACCTGCTGGATGACTTGACCAAGTGACGTGGCAACTGGCAGACTTTGGGAGTGCAATAATAACAATACGTTGTTTGAAATAAAGCAAATACATTTTCCCATAGCTTTCATTTTACATGCGATATTTCATCAAATTCAATTTGTGTACTCTAATCTATTGCTTCCCTTTTATCCATGCATTAGAGCTACCCTAATATGCTGGCCTCAATGCAAAAGGAATGGGAAAGATATGCACCATTTGATTCTAAATCAAATCTAAATCTTTTTGTTTGGGATTGAGGACAAATTGATTGAAATAAATTAGGAAAACGTTTTATTTTAGATGATTTTTGAGGAATGGAAAAGTGCAGTCCTACTTTTACTTTGGGTGAACTGGCCCGTGTAGCCTAAAATAGAAGTGCATTTTCTCTGGGTATAATTTACATGGATAAACATAAACATACTTGAGATTCCACTACACCTATAAGATACTGTCGAACTGCTAAATTATATATTGCTAAAGTACTGTAGTTCAACACTTTCTGAAGTTCTGACTGCCAAGTCAGGTCAGGTCGTATCCCAACCATCCGCCAGATGGCACTATTATTCGTTTTATGTCTTCGAACGGCTGGTTAGGCTAGTCAGGTAGGGCGCGGGAGGATGTGCGCAGTGAGCACACACGTGTTGTGAAAAAATGGCGGAAGCGGATGATGAAGTGGAATCTGAATACAATGGCGGTAGAATCAAGGATAATTGGAGTATTGTTGAAAATAATGGAAAACGGAGCAAAGTAGGGTACAGTGATGAGAATGACCCTTCGTATCTAGTAGGAATAACGTTTGTTAATAAGGAGCAGCTGAGCATAGTACCAATCTTGAAGAAACCATTTGAGTTATCCAAACTGGTGGAGAGAGTGTTGGGTAAAGTGAAGGATGTGAGGATCACGAGAGGTGGGCTTGTTTCGATTTTTTGTGATTCTGCGGATCAGAAGGAACGTGCGTTGTGTCTTAATCGATTTGATCCATTTGAAGTGTTGTGTGTGTCGCTTCGGAACAGGGCACCCCTTAGGGGGGTTATATCTGGCGTTTCGTGGGAAGTTGATTTGGAAGAGATTAAAAATAGGTTATATCTGGCGTTTCGTGGGAAATTGATTTGGAAGAGATTAGACATATTCCTGGAGTGATTGAAGCACGTCGGATGAATCGAGTGGTGAATGGGGAAAAAGTGAAGTGTTGATCTGTTCTTTTGTTTTTTGAAATGGAGTCTATACCTAATGAAGTGCGATTAGGGCATATTCACTACAGTTAGAGCATTTATCCTAAGAACAATGCAGTGTGAACATTGTAAAGCTTTTGGTCACGTAGAAAGTGTTTGCAGAAGGGAGAAGCCGATATGTACAAGATGTGGAAAATATCATATTATGTGTTATAAAAGTGAAGAAAATGTGGCATGTTGTAATTACGGTGGGAATCATGAAGCCACGTCTTCTGAATGCCCCACAAGGGTAAAGGAGAATGAAGTGGCCAAAGTCAGGGTTGGACAGATCATTTCATATGCAGAAGCTGTGAAAAGGGTTATGGGTTTGAATGTTGCACCAGAAGAGTCCATGGTAGTGGATAGGCCTTCGCTGCAGGGGTTGTCTTACACCAAGAGGATCCTGACATTTTAAAGGTTAAAAAGGTGGCCTTTCTCGCAATGGTGATAAATGGCACTGCCAAGGTGGAGAAAACATCGAGGAAGATTGAAATCATTGGCAATGGCAATGTACTATTTTTATTAGGGTGGATTGTTAGAATCACTATTAAGAATATATTTTTTATTTTGGTTTCAAAACGTCCAGTTGGTGGCGGCAATACAGCTTTTGGATGTAGTCCGCCATAAAACCCACAGAAGAAGAAGAACGATGTGTGCAGTAACGTCTATTTTTGTACCTGGGTGTGGCGCGTAAGGAACCCTCTAGCGATGACTGTCTGATGTTCATTCAGCCTAATTTCGTAGAATTATTAGTCTAAGCTTGTAGGCCCTGACCCACCAGTATAGAATGCTACACATATTCACCGGATAACGTTTTTTTTTGTTTGTCACAAAATGCCGAAGCAAAGCACATGTCTCTTTAGAGTGCGTGTCAAGACTTTACGTCTTGACGCAGTACGCGAGCAGTATTAAACCGTGCCTTTTGACGTAATCTCTCTCTTCCCTGCCTATGCCCTCGTGAGGTGGGCAGTGTAACATCTCGTGAATACTTTTCCACGAAGGGAATCCACAATCATCCGTCAAAAT